TATAGATTTGCTTTGATAGTGTGTAGTTTTATAAATATAATCTATTCAGATTGTTTTTTCAAGACTGTTGATATTGGTTAGGGACCGGTCATTATTTATGGAAGGGGGGAGGGGAATTTTTTCTTTTCTAAATTTTTAAAATTGAAATCCCCCCTAAATGGCAGAAATTTAATGATGCCCCCCCTGCCATATTAAAATATTTTTCTTTGACCCCCCCCCCCATTTTCATTTTTACTCGTCAAATGGGGATACCCAGGCGTTATAGTATTAATTATTAAATAAGAATATGGAACTGGCAAGATATTAACGTCGACCAAAAATATATATTTATTAGCAGAAAATTGTAATTAAAAGAGGAGTATTTTTATGTATAACACTAAAATCAGGTTTCCATTTGGTCTGGGCGATCGTAACCATGTTTAAGGCTGCAACTAGACTTGATGGTACGAAGTATTGCCATAGCAGCTGCGCGGCAACAATGAGAGCAACAATGAGTAAAATTAGCAGCAAAAGGAGATAGCAATGACAATTCTGCCAAGGCATACCTGCGAAATACAGTGTATAGTGGTCTATACATCCTATTTTATGTGAGATTAAAAATTATATAAAAATGACATATACTAGCTACCAGATAAAATCTTTTAGAATGAACATGGGTGGGTGGGTCGGGAAAAGGTATCGAAGCGCAAAACTTGCTGCAGCTAGGCAAAGCATACAATGGTAGAATGAATACCCAGACCGAAGCACTGATCACAAGGCATGAAACAACGTTAACCCCCTTTGATCGATATGACGTCACAGATTCCCCGCAGCGGATGTGGCCTGCATAATACAAACGCCGTTAACCTTGCTTAATTTAAATGTATTTAACCACATCAAGAGCTGATGTAATAATACATTGTGAATTTAACTAGTCTGCAATCTGTAAAGACTGATTTGCATACTGCATACAGCACACACAAGACAAAATGAATCCAGACTATTTCACATCAGTGACCATGATTTAGTTGCAACATTTACAACCAGGTTATTAAGCAAATTCCAGATACCAGGTTATTAAGCAAATTCCTTCAAGTTTAATTGCAACACCCCCTGTCATTTTCTTGAAAAAATTTAATAGCCCCCCTTCTAGTCATTTCTACATATGCCCCCCTTATTTTTTTCCTCCCCTCCCCCCTTCCATAATTAATGACCGGTCCCTTATTGTTAAAATCGAGGATGTCGTTAAAATTAAACTTTAAACCTGTAAGATCTTCGGGAACATTTTATATTATGTTGTGTTTGACCAAATAATGTCCTTGCCCTTGCACGGTTCCCATTTGTAAAAAACTGCTGTAAATCATATCCCCCTTTAATTAATTTGATCTCATCCGTGAGTCGGCCTCGAAGGCCTTTGATTAATAATGCTGTGTGCACGCTGCATTATTTTTAATAATGCTGTGTGCACGCTGCATTATTTTTAATAATGCTGTGTGCTATTTTAGCCCGTATAAAAACATTTACCCCTGGGAATTTCCCTACAATCAAAAAAGACCGCTCCCGTTTTTCAGAAGAACGCTAAAACTTCTCGACATTCGCTGATATAATGCAGAGAGAAAACAATAGGTTATTATGACCGTCAGTAATTATACTTGTTTATATCAGTAGGTAGAGCGTCGATCTAGTAATTCGAAGGTCGCGGGTTCGAGACCCAGCCGCGGCAGACAACATCTTTCTGCTTGCGCTGGGTATGGAAATTATATAATACACACTCTAGAACATTTTCATCTTAACATATTACATAGTGTACAATTACACAACTAACATAACACTTGCAGAACTAATATTGTTCGATGCTGAATTAATATAAACGAGTATGTTTATGACATTCAGTATATATTTCATAATTTCCAGTCTTAAATCCGTCTGACCGTGTAGCTCAGTAGGTAGAGCGTCGATCTAGTAATTCGATAGCCTGCATGGCAGGCGGTACCAAGGAAATACCGGCTGCCGCAAAACTGCAGGGTGTAAATGAACTACCGCCCCTGAAGCATCAAGCTATTTATAGATGTCATTACTGCGGATTCAGGTAGACCGTTTAATGCGAATAGTTGTCGCGTTAGGGACGGACCATTTGATTTTTGATGGGGGGGTGGGTAGAATCCCAAAAAAAATATCGGGCAAGCGATTCGAACTTTAAAAAAATATCGTGCAAGAATAAACGGACGAAAAAAAATATCGAGCAAGACTTTCGAGTGGTAATCCTTATTTGCCATTCGGTGCATTTCCGCGTGTAGCCCAGGGCTGTGTGTAGCCCTAGCTGGGGGCTGCAAGGTCCAGGAAATGGCATTTCAGAGACTCTAAATTTAAAAATTTCCTCGGGCCTTCGGCCCTCGCTTTCAGCCCCCCCCCCCCAATCAAGAAGAGCTTCCTAAAGCCCTGTAGCCTAAATAATGGGAGGACCAGTATCATTCCATAAATGGTTGTTCTTTATTAGTTTCTTTACTCCGACTCCTATGATGAACATGTGCGTAAAAAAACTAGGAAAACTACGATTAAATCACGGCTGTAGAAGCTAAAATAGGTGAAATTTTTATGGGACACGATCAAAGGCGAGGATATAAGAGCTAGAGATTGAAATTGAGTAGGAATAGCGTACAAGGGTATGCATTTCGACCTAACAGTTTTCTTCAGTAGGGTTTTTTAAGAGGGGAGGGGTGTAGGGTGTAAATATAATTTGAAGGGGAGAAGGAAGGAGAGTTTATAGGAGTTCGGAAAATAATGTGAGACAAAGAGGAAAACAAATTATTACAAAATAACTGAAAATAACCAATTACACAGTGAAAGGATGTAACGACTAACATGTTATTAGTCAAGTTATCCTACCAAAGGTCTTGTTGTTTGCGGGACATTCCAACACTACGCACTTTATTGTTCATCGTTCGTATTGGTGAAGTGAAGCAAATTTGCAGGTCCTTCGATTAAGGGTTAACTTACTCAATGGTATAGTGAATTTGAATGATTGTGATGGTAAGGGTGATCATGTGACTGTAGGTGATTTCATCCAAATATGGTGTTGGTGGTGTAGGAGCTTATAAGACAGGGATAGGGGCGTTTGGCAATTAGTGATACATAAGGGATAAAAATAATGATAACACCGTGTATGGTTTGATTTTTGTTTAAAATATATGAGTACTGGTGTAAGTGACAGTGGTGTAAGAGTACTGGTGTAATAATTAAAACATGTACATAATTATATAACAAAACCAAAACAGAGATTAGTAAATGAATGATACATGACCAATAGATAGCTATAGCTAGTTCTGATGTGGATTTTGCTACGTAGAGGATCAAAGTTCACATTATTTTCCGGACCCCTAAACCCTCCTTTCTAATTCTCCTCTGCAAATTCTATATACCCCCCCCCCTCCCCTTTAAAAAAACCATGCTGAAGAAGACTGTTTGGTCGAAACGCGTGTAGGGTTGCCTTTCCTACTCAATTTCAATCTCTCACTCTTATATCCTCACCTTTTGTGGAGTCCCATAAAAATTTCACCTACTTTACCTCGTAGTTTCCCTAGTTTTTTTACGTACATGTTCATCATAGGAGTCGGAGTAAAGAAATGGAGAACAACCATTTTTTGAATACTGGTCCTCTCATTATTTAGGCTACACAATGTCTTACATCAGTACTTGTCCAATTACCTATTATATACCAAAAAATGTAAAAACAAAAAACTAAAAAATTATGTATATACATGCATACAAAAAAATATCGTGCAAGTCCTCTGACTGACAAAAAAAAATCGAACAGTGTCAGGAGGCGGAAAAAAAATATCGAGCAAACTGAAAATCTACCCACCCCCCATCAAAAATCAAATGGTCCGTCCCTTAGTTTTAACAGTTGTACGATGACGTTTCTAGGCAGATTTTCGACGTTTCTAAGGCGTGGTTTCAACGTTTATTTTTAAAATTTGAACGTTGTAATTACAAGGTAATTGCTAAATAGTATACTTCAAAATAAGGTTTCCGTTTTTATAACGTAGAAAAAATCATCCTAACGCAAAACTAAACCCTAAACTAACCCTAACTTATTTAAAAAATTGATATAAAAACGGAAACCTTATTTTGAAGTATACTATTTAGCAATTACCTTGTAATTACAACGTTCAAATTTTAAAAATAAACGTTGAAGCCACGCCTTAGAAACATCGAACTAAATCTGCCTAGAAACATCATCGTACAACTGTTAAAACTAACGCGACAACTATTCGCATTAAACGGTCTACCTGAATCCGCAGTAAGTAAATATTCAAAATTAGCCACTCCCAAGTTGCTACCAAGTCTCAACATAAAATATTAAATTCCTTGATTATCATCACCGCCCGACTGAATTTTAAAATCCTCGTGAAAATGTTTTATATTTCGTTATACAATATAAATGTACCGCCCGACAAAATAATTCAAGACAGTTAATTTTTTTATATTTTATATAGGGTTTTTAGTGCCAATTTAAACCACAGGCGGCCCAATCTCAGAATGAATGATCAGGTGTTGCGGGTTTTTAACGGTTTTTATAAACAAATTTTATAGTCAACCAAAACTATTTTAAAAACATTCTTAAATTAGTCAAATAAATACATTTTAACAATAAAATATAGTTGACATGATAGCATAATACCTTTACATTCTTTTAATTAATCCATGAGCTCATTTAGAGCGGTTGATGTAACATTTTCTGTGGCCTACATTGTGTGTGCTCATCTATATATAATATAACAGTAAAAGGCTAATCACTGGCGGCACGACCGCATCGCCTTCAAAGTCAAATATCTCCGCTCAAACTTCTCGTACGCCAAAACAAATTCGATTACATCTTTTCACAAAGATTTCTCTTTCTAAATAATATGGTTTGATCGTAGCTTGGGCAAATTTAGCGACGAACGGAACCAAAATCTCCTCAATTTTGGATACTATTCTCAACACTCGTAATGATATGCGAAAACAAATTAAGGCTAAAACAAAGTTGTTATGAAACGTATTGCATATATTATGTGCATGGGTGACTGATGTAGCTATAAAGGTGCGGACAACACCCAGACGCTCGCTCTTGTTCAGTTCCACATTTTGAGAGGCAAGTGGCAAACGCAAACAGCACGACTCACCCGAATTTGTTCAAATGGTCGAAGTGGATGAGCAGTTTCCTGTGGAGGTTCCACCAGAACCTATGGTATTGGATGCTCAAGGCCAAGTACAACCGGCGCCGCTGCAGGCCGCTATCAATCAGGATATTCCCGTCCCAGACAACAACGATCTGGAGGTCATTATACTTATTAACAAATACCTTGTGGTAGTGATTTATTTAGCTTATTCGCCTGATTCCTGAGTTTTCCTCTAGTTAGGCATTCAGTGCTCGTTCTGATCATATAGTGTTCGGTTACTGTACATCGAAATACGAAGCTTATAGGTTTTACACGAGTTTTGTTTCGTGTATGTATTTTGTCTTTTGGTCTCGCATATTTTTCTTCTCATTATCATATGCTATTGTTAGTACGTTGTTCTTTCAGCATATTATAAAATTTACAGACTCTAGGCGCCTCTGGGTCAATTTGAAACTCAGTAATTTTGCCTTAATATAAATAAGTCATACTATTATCGTTCTACAATTGAGGAACTCTTCGTATATATATATTATCTGTTGCATTCACACCCTTGTCGTTTATACTGGGTATTCACCACATATTTGGCATACTTCTGCTTGATTATACATTACATAGTTATGAAGAATAGGCGAGAACTCGCCAAGGACGCGTTTTCGTCCGGAACATGTGGGTGAGAATTCGCCAATGACGAGTTGTCGTCAGTTAAATGTGGGCGAGAATCGCCAAGAATAAGATTTCGTTCTTAACATGTCATGTGGGCGAGAATTCGCCAAGGACGAGCTTTTGTTAGTTAAATGTGGGCGAGAATTCGCCAAGGACGAGATTTCGTCACTAAAGTATGGGCGAGAATTCGCCACTGATGAGATTTCGTCCGTAAATTGTGGGTGAAAATTCGCCAAGGACGAGATTTCGTCAGTAAAATCATAGGCAGCCCAGCAAAATGTGTAAAAATGCATTAAACGCTTAAAAATACGTATAAAGTTCGTCTCAATTTGCTATCAAGCGATTTATTTGTGTAGCTCATTATACATGCAGATTCCGATGTTTACGTCATTGTATTTTCATATAGTATATTATCCTAAGGCGGGCAACTCTTTTACAAAAACATTTACACACACTAATACGCTCGCTTCAAACAACAACAAAAACCGCTACTTTCTGAAAACAAACTACATACAAAACACCTTGGATATTTTTTCTAACTTTATTCAAACTTTTTAGAGTTGAAAAAAGTTTAGAAGTATTTAAATTTCATGGATAAAAAGTGGGTTTTTATCGAAATTATTTTGTCTATAGGCGGGATGCAAAATGCACGACAAACGTCATCATCGGAAAAATCATCGGCTTGTTGCTTATTGGCTGTTCAAAAATCGGCAAATTCCGAAGAAAGTTCATTGACTGAAGTATATTATATTCGGAATTTGCCGATTTTTCAACAGCCAATAAGCAACAAGCCGATGATTTTTCCGATGATGACGTTTGTCGTGCATTTTGCATCCCGCCTATCGACAAAATAATTTCGATAAAAACCCACTTTTTATCCATGAAATTTAAATACTTCTAAACTTTTTTCAACTCTAAAAAGTTTGAATAAAGTTAGAAAAAATATCCAAGGTGTTTTGTATGTAGTTTGTTTTCAGAAAGTAGCGGTTTTTGTTGTTGTTTGAAGCGAGCGTATTAGTGTATGTAAATGTTTTTGTAAAAGAGTTGCCCGCCTTAGGATAATATACTATATGAAAATACAATGACGTAAACATCGGAATCTGCATGTATAATGAGCTACACAAATAAATCGCTTGATAGCAAATTGAGACGAACTTTATACGTATTTTTAAGCGTTTAATGCATTTTTACACATTTTGCTGGGCTGCCTATGGTAAAATGTGGGTGAGAATTCACCAAGGACGAGAGTTCGTCAGTAAAATATGGGCGAGAATTCGCCAAGGACGAGATTTCGTCAGTAAAATGTGGTCGAGAATTCGCCAAGGACGAGAGTTCGTCAGTAAAATGTGGGCGAGAATTCGCCAAGGACGAGATTTCGTCAGTAAAATGTGGGCGAGAATTCGCCAAGGACGAGATTTCGTCAGTAAAGTATGGGCGAGAATTCGCCACGGATAAGATTTCGTCCGTAAATTGTGGGCGAGAATTTGCCAAGGACGAGATTTCGTCAGTAAAATGTGAATCGAATTCGCTAAGGACGAGATTTCGTCAGTAACATATGGGCGAGAATTCGCCAAGGGCGAGATTTCCACATTTTGAGAGGCAAGTGGCAAACGACCCACCCACCCACCCACCCACAAATTCGGGTGAGTCGTGCGCCGCAATTCTAAGCCAAGCTTTCAGCTTGGCTTAGGACGCTGATCAATATTGCCATACCTTATCAAACTGAGCATGAATGCGAGTGTTGAGAAATAGTATACTGTTCAAAATACTTAGGGCAACCTCGTACCCAGGGCTAGTCGCGAATTGAAGGCGGCGACGTAGCCCTGGTAAACGCTGGTCACGTGACTCCAACATTACGTAATTGTTACTTTTCTCAACCGGGGGGTGAATAGGTGAAACTCGAAGACAAACAGTTTTTATCTCCGAAATTCTTCAATCTTCCCTGTGAATTTTGCATTTCAAGCTTTTCTCAAAGTACGGCGATCGATCAAATGGATCAATACTTTCTGTAGAAAAAACTCAGTGAGATTTGTTCGTATGAGACGTTTAAAAGACTTGGATATGTCGCTAAAGACGCTCGATCATTGCACAGGTTTATGGTTTAGTACTTTGTTCAGTTTGTTGCGACTTGCGAAGCAAATGAATGCAAATTCAACTCTTGTATAATGACTAAAAGTTGGTTTGTAGAGAGACAACTTATACAAAAGATATGAATACATTAGCTTCAAACTAGGGGCAAGTTCATGGACATCCCTAATATATGGACATTGATATTTCACCAATATGTAAATATGACTATTAAATATATAAAAGGATTGCTGTTGTATTACTTGTATATGTATATGTATATGTACAAGTGTTGTGCTGTGGTATTTACGTTTTTAACCCTTTAAGTGGCATACCCCCCATGGACTAGAATTTCTGAGGGGGTTGAAAAAGCCGTTTCTGAGGGGTTGTGTGCATCGGCGCCTCCTTTGATCTTTGCATTTTTTTATGAGGGATAAGGCAAAAATTTCTTAATTTCTGGGGTGTGTGTGTTGGTGTCGGCACTTTGATCTTTTTTCTTAGGGGTGTGTGTACATCGTCCATAGGGGTGTGTACATTGAATGGAATGGCCCAATGCACCCAGATGCACCCTACTTTGTTAGTTTACTCTGTCTAACACCAGACAATTTTACTCATCAGGTGGAGAGTGCATGGCGCCACTCAATGGGTTAACATAGTCGATGAACATGCCAAATGATCCTTGACCGTGGTAGTACATTTTTGCACTTGCTGGATGATATTGCAACCAAGCATTGTTTCAGAGGAAGAGCCCTGAGATCATGCTGTGTAGCAATTGGAATCTCGCATAGAGCCTGCTCTCACATAAAGCAGGCAAGACCTTCACTCAGAAGCCAGTCCTGATTAATATTAATTCCCCACATAAACACTTGGAAACCAGACTGTCCCATCTGCCATATGCAGGACAAAAAACATGCAGCCTGGACTTTAACTGTTAAACAACTAAATCAGCATGATAAACAGTGCGATGATTTTTGCTTAGCCCAAACCAAAGCCAGTTTTCTAGAATTAATTTGCAGAATCCTAAGAATTGGACTGCCAACTTGAAGAGCTAGCTGTGCTAACCAAGTTGCATGGGCAACCCTGAATTGATGTGACTAGAGCAAATCTTCAAAAAATAATAGAGAGATCAGATTTTACTTCCACTGCTGCTATTGCTATCATTAAAGTTCTAACCAGATAAGTTTCATTTATCCAATCAAACAATCGGATGCAACTGCCAGATCAAGTAGTGGTAGTGGAAGTTAAATTTGAACCTTTCTATATGGATTTCAGAGAGACCAGTCATTATTTGCTGATATATTATTATAACTTGTTTAATCAAAAGCTACTATATATTCATTTATGATATTAAAAATTGATATAATTTTATCTAAGTGAGAATAATTTTAAAAAAATATTCATAACATAAAATGATTCATGCATGCTGGTGATTGAATAAACCATGAAGTGTGCATTCTGAATCTCTACAAGTTCCTTGACATTATTTTTCCAGTACAGTGTAAAACTATATATATAAATGTGACACAGGTTGCAGGTATTAGGTTGCATGTCCACCAGTGTGCTGAAATACCATCCAGTGACCCGGTCTGGTTCATTGTTACTTGCATCTTGCTTAATTCAACTGTTTTCGCCCCATTTCTTGTACCCATAAAGTTCTTTTCAATAATCTAGAAAACTTCAAAATCATTCAGTAAATTTAATTTTAAAATTGGGTGAAAGGTAAGGGGTCAATAATAGATGAAGAAATCATTTCTTATTGTTCATACATATGGCCCCCATCTCTGTCAGGTATTAGAGTAGAAATTTATTGAAGCCTGAAGTCAGAAAATAAATATGGCAACAAGGTTACACGCCATACTGCAGAGTTAGGCAATTTTTTTAAAGATCTCAAGGGCACAAAAGGTATAAATATAGATTGTAGGGGCAAGGGAACAAAATAATGAAATTTTGAGATTCAGGGGCAGGTTTTACAATGGGGTGCTAAAACTTTTCCCTAAAAATCCCTGACCAGCTGGAGTGCTGAAACTGATGTTTGACTATTGAAATATCCTAGCAGGTTAGGTTCATCAGATTTTAGCTTTGTCAACCTGGCCACTCTGTTATTACAGTAATGCCTCATTTAAATAATTTCAGGTCATTACTGTATTTTAAAATGTAAATACAAAGTATTTTAAGTTTATACTGCTGTAAAATGTAGTTTAATAATACTGTACTATTAAAGTGTAAACACGTTTCTCGCAGCGATAAATCAATATTGTAAATAATAATCATGTGAGAGTAGAACTTTACTGAGAGTCCGAGTATAGTATTATAGGCCATAGTCTGGCCATGTGTTTCTCAATATTGACAATACATAATAAACTACAATTGTACAAATTCAGCTAACTATATTAACATACTGTATAAAATATATTACAGTAAATAGCCTTCGAAATATATATTTCATAGAGCTAGACAGTGTAACAAATAATGGGAATCTGCTAAATAATTTGTAACAATGAAATACATTTTCAAATTCACATATACTGTACCTTTTTATACTTGATGGAAATCATCACAAATAGTATGTACGAGATTGGCTCCATTTTCGAAACATCGCCTCCTCGGCGATTTCCCCATGCGATATAAAAGAAGATTGATGTACATTCGACGTAATATATAAACGTAACATATTAAGAAGAAAGATTACAACAAAAAATAAAAAGAATATAAATAATCCGCGGCAATTCAAGTTCCATTCGTGAACTTTTCGTCGCCCCCCTGTCTTTACTTCCACAAAGCCCGCTCGCAGGCTAATACTCCAAGAATCTTGGAGTATTTGCCTGACACGTGACCAGCGTTTACCAGGGCCTGACTCGTCCCCAGTCGCTTACCTAACGCGCGTTGAATTACCCAACGCGCGCTGATTGATGGGAATGTGACGGCGAGGGAAGCGACTGGGAAATCCTAATTCAAGATGGCGGACGTTATAATGGCGGACGCTGTTATCGAAGAGCGAGAAAGGGACGAAATATTTTCAAGGCCGTTTCACGAGGCGTATCTGACGAATAAAGTTGTTTGTCCGATGGCTGAATGCCTGGAAAACTTTCGTTTTTTTAAAGAAAGTGGACTTGCGCATCATTTCCGCACTGTTCACAACCGACAGATGGTGCCGCAAGATACGAAGAATTCAGCTTTGGCCATGAAACGTATGTTTGGCGAAGAAACTTTAAGATTTATTAAATATATCTCTTTTTAAATTGACCACTCTCCTCTGTAGAGGCTTTGTGTTTTGTTTTGGATTTTTTCAAGTCCCACGCTCTGCCTCTCAACTATTCTGCCTGCAAACTTCGAAAAAAACCCAAATTAAAACACAAAGCCTCTACAGAAGAAAGTGTAAATCGACCGTAATGTTGGGGGCATGTTGACTTTACCATAATTCTTTGCAAGAAGAAAACATATCTTAAGAAAATATTTGAAAATACAGCATCAAGGCCATAAAATTTGTAAGATATAATCACAGCTTTTATCAATGTTATGCACCAGTCAAAGTAAACCCCGACCCCCCCCCCCCCGGGATATAGGTGGGGATTGGCTTTGAATACCGTACCAAAACAGACAAATGCCCCACAATATGGGACAAAATTTTCTAGCAAAAAACAAAAAATGCCCCACCCCCTGGGGGATAATTGTAAGTCGTGTGCGTGAATTTATCTCCTGCATAATATCTCCCCGACAATCTCCGGGCTGCGCGCCGCATAAACCGTCCACATTTTAAAATATTAATATTTTGTTCCATTTGAAACTCAAAAGAACGATAAAAACATAATAATAATATAAACAAACAAATGTCGAGCTTTCCACAACAATAGATTCCATGGATGGATGGACATATTATTAAACCGGTATTAACATATAGATTGAAAAGAAATTAAATTAATATATTTATAAAATTCTTCCCGATTTCATTTCCTTACGAGCATGCCATTTTGTCCTTTGCAAATCACATGGTATAAAATGGTAGAACCTGGGGATTCCATTGGACAAAACGGTACAAAATAGTACAAAATGGCCGCAGACAATCCCCTAACAATCCCCATTATCTTCCCGGCATAATTCGGCAGAATGACAAAACCAACAAATTCCCGACATGGTTGGGACAGAATTCGATGACAAAAAGCCACTAAATCCCCACCAAGTCCCCTCTTTGCCCGGGGTGGGGGGGGGTCTACTTTGACTGGTGCATTAATAAAATAAACTGTTCTTACAGTTCATATAACCAATTCAGGGTCACAAAGCATTATGGTAAAATTGACACCTGCCATCATTTTTATTATGGTGAATTTCAAACATACAGTTCAACTGGTCTATTTCAATTTTATTTCTTTGGATATTGTACTTTATCTAAGGAATATTAAAGCCTACACTACTGTATATATCACATATTTTGTAAATACTTTCAACATTGTTATGTTGCTATTTGGACACTGTAGAGTGTACACTGCTGAAACAATGTACCATATAACATATTTTAAAAATAATTTCAAATATTGTATTGCTATTTTTGCACAGCCACTGTGGACATCAGCTTCAGATGACAGGGGTAAATGAAATTAATCTTAATATGTCATCTATCTATCTATCTATCTATTTTTAGTATCACCAAATTAATAAATTCAATTGAGTGACAAAAATATCCATTCTATTAACAAATGCATGATGTCTGCTTTTGCTGTTGGATATTTCAATTATTTGTTCTTTCAACGGTTCGAAAGTACATACAGTGTCAGTGAGGATTTATACTATTCAATATTTGAGATAAAACAGTAACACTGTTATCACTCGAGTCAAATTATATCCATTATTTCAGAATTATTTCATAGATGTTTTATGTAAACATAATTATGGACTTGATATTTTTTTGTGTGTGTGTTTTGATGCTACATATGTACTCAGGTGAAAATAATTTAATGTTTCTTGATCTGCTCTGAAAACACATTGGTATTGAAGGTACTAGACTTAGTTCTGAAATACCAAACACTTGAACAGACTTGGCCTCGTAGCTCAGTTGGCAGAACATTGGACAAGGTAGTTGTCCCACCGCATGACCATGCAAACTTTTCAGCCTGTCCGGTGAGGATATCCACTCAGAGTAAAAAAAAAAATCATTATGGAGAGTCCATACATAGTCATAGCAGATTAATTCAAGTTAAATTACATGTACATGCTCTATTTAACCACGGATAATAAAATAAATTTATTTTATTATCCATGATTTACACAAAACAACCCTTCACAACTGTAAAAAATTATTGCTACATTGAAATACGAGTGGGATGTGTGTACAGTAAAGGTTTTGTCTTTTAATCTGATTCACTTCCAATATTTTCATCATCAGACTCATTAACATCTAATTCATTCATTATTCCATACACTATTTTCGGTTGAAAGTGGCCAGAACTTTCCTTTTCCAACTTGCATAAGAATCAACATTGTTAGTGGAAATTGACGCCTTTTTGGGATCACCAAACTTTTCTACTGTTTTCCTACCTGGAACATATTAAAAGAACCTTCTCCTTAAAATAAAATGTGCTGCCTTGAGTTGATCAGGGAACGGATCATACGAAGGGGGTAGGGGGGTTAGCTTCCTATTTCCTCTGTGGGGGTGGTATGGATGTTTTCTGGAGTGACCCATTACAAAAATCAATGACGTGAGAAAGAATGCTTCAGTATGCTTGTCTGGCATTAGACAGAGTAAAATTCTGAATTAGGGTGCATCAGAGTGCATTGCCACTTAAAGGGTTAATAACGCATACTGTATGTAGTCAGAGGCCTATTCGTGGCTGGGGGGGGGGGGGGGCTTGGGAGAATTTATTATAATTATATACACAGGGACGCCGGAACAATGTGAAGGCAAGGGGGGCAGATTTTTGTTAAAGGGCACTTTTGAATTGATATATACTGAGAGATGTTTGCAAAACATCGGGAGTTGAACTTCGCCTAATCATGTTTTCTATTTATTGGATGATAGGGGTGTGAGGGGGTTCTCCACCAGGCGATTGTGCTATTCTTGAAGCCCGATGACTGCATTTCTTGCGTTTTCTGAAGCAAATTCGTAAAAGAATCGCACTAAAATTTTTGACAATTCGCTATTTCGCCAAGGCAATTCTTTAAATTGAAGGGCACCTTTGCCCCCTTGCCCCTCCTGGTAAAGGGCAACGGGGGCGGCTGCCCCTCCTGCTCCCCCATTTCCGGCGTCCCTGTATATACATTAGATTTATCAGATATATAATAGAATATACTCATACTATTTGATTCAATCTCATCATGTTTAATGTCAGAAAATTGATGAGCAATACACTTTTCCCGTAGGTTAATAAAAAAACACTCTGTTAATTTATCAGTGAAGGAAAAACGTTTTAAATGATTATATATCTACAATTATTGTTACAGAAATTGGAACCAATGGTTCTAAAAGGATTGAATCAATGGTTCTAAACAGATTCAATGGAAAATTTATTTCTGACCGTAATTTTTAATAGAATTACACCAACCATTCTAGATATGAAATATTTGAGAATTTGTTTCTCTTCATATAACTGGCAGGACAAAGTTTAACAAACAAAGTTGTAGTCATGCTGCAAGCAAATTAAAACATTTAGCAGTTTAAAACACTGGCTCTTACAGTACTACAGGTATCTGTTGACATTAGAAAGGAACCTAGTGGCCAGCTAGGTGTTACTAATAATATATGTAATGTTATTGATATTCAAAAGCCTGATAGTTTATTGTAATATATACAATATAATTGGTTTAATTGTATAATATAGATTTATAAAAAGGATACTGATTTTTGTTATCTTTTCTATACCTCTTGATGTAGACTCCAAGGAAAGCCTCTTTTACTGCTCGAGTTTATACGCGTGATTTTATGACAGTATCGTCGCCCAGATATGCCAGAACCGTATCATTAGGTGTTTGACTGTTGTCGTGCAATTCAAAACCATCTTTTAAACAATTGTAGTGGCCTTTCTTTGATCCAATCGTTGTTTCCCTGATAGGGATTTTCCTGAACAATTGAATTATTATAAGCTATTTAATAAATTATAAATCCAATGAAATCTCGCACGCGATAAAGTTTGTTCAAAGAGATATATAATTTTGAATATATGAAACTATTTTTAAAACTTACCAACACAAACTCTCTTCAACGGTGGCAAATATGGAGTTTGCTTTGTTGATGGAGCCGTGAATGTGTGCTTTCCTTGCGCGGGGCTTTTCACGTTGCCTTCTTCTTGTATAGGAGTGCTTGTTCTCCGTTTATCATTATCTGATGTATTTCTTGTATAGGAGTGCTTGTTCTCCGTTTATCATTATCTGATGTGACGAAAAATGACAATATAAAAAGCGGTTTATGCAAATATTGCGATATTTCCAACAGAAATTATATGCCCTGCACACATGGCTTGTATCAATTTGTCAACACTTACCATAATCCTCGTCATTCAGCGATAGATTATGCATAGACGTCTCCAAATCTTCCTCTGAACCCAACCAGATGCTTTCTAAGTCTTGCAAAGGCAAGCTCTCGTCCAAATCTTCGCTCATTATCAAAATTTATGCATTTGCCGAGAAATGGACAGATTTGCCAAGAAACAGACACAATATTTCACAGTCCCTAACAAAACGCCTCGGGGCATTCCCATGGTCCTTTGCGTTAGAAGCAGCGATAGGGACTGTGGAAGAGTCAGTACCAGGGCTACGTCGCCGCCTTCAATTCGCGACTAGCCCTGGGTACGAGGTTGTACTTAGGGCTGCTCGGGCACGATCGTGGACGTGACGTAATCAATACATACTGACAATAACGCCTTACCGCCTTACGTGGGGTGGGACAGCATAAAGTGACAAACTATCGTCGAATTTGATATGCTGTCTCACCCCGGGTAAGGCGTTATTGTCAGTATGTATTGATTACGTCACGTCCACGATCGTGCCCGAGCAGCCCTAAGTATTTTGAACAGTATCCGAAATTGAGGAGATTTTGGTTCCGTTCGTCGCTAAATTTGCCCAAGCTACGATCAAACCATATTATTTAGAAAGAGAAATCTTTGTGAAAAGATGTAATCGAATTTGTTTTGGCGTACGAGAAGTTTGAGCGGAGATATTTGACTTTGAAGGCGATGCGGTCGTGCCGCCAGTGATTAGCCTTTTACTGTTATATTATATATAGATGAGCACACACAATGTAGGCCACAGAAAATGTTACATCAACCGCTCTAAATGAGCTCATGGATTAATTAAAAGAATGTAAAGGTATTATGCTATCATGTCAACTATATTTTATTGTTAAAATGTATTTATTTGACTAATTTAAGAATGTTTTTAAAATAGTTTTGGTTGACTATAAAATTTGTTTATAAAAACCGTTAAAAACCCGCAACACCTGATCATTCATTCTGAGATTGGGCCGCCTGTGTTTAAACTTCCAATTTCAAACAAACAGAATTTTGTATGAAATTTCATTGTATTTTAAAGAAACTCAGTCATTCTGTCATTGTTCGTGGAGATACGAACTATTGATATATAAATTATATAAATATAAAATATAAAAAATAAATCTCCCACTGTCTTCGACATTTAATTTCAAAGTGTAGACTGTGTCTAGTGATGAGAATCAAGGAATTTATTTTATGTGCAGCCTTTAATATAAACCAAGCAGCCCGTTCAGCTGCCTTAAAATGGTGGTTTAATAAGCTCAAAATACAAAGCATGCAAGTCTATACTATAGATTCATCATCAGTCAACAACCAAACTGAAAGTTTTGAACCTTATAGAACGATAGTTTTTATTTGTTTACAACTATACATATTCAACGGGTATATAAGAGTTTAACTGTTATTTAATAATTACTGCATCGACCGGCCCATACCCGTAGTTTATACTAATTGGAGATCTTTGTAGGTTCGTATATCTATCAAGTATCTTTGGTTCAGAACATGATAGGCCTATATATGAAAATCCGTTCGATTCGATTCAGTGAAGAAATATCTCCTAATTTCTATCGATAGTTTTAGTAAAATGTCAACATTATTGCGATTTATGGCCTTTGAAAGTCAAGCGAGATCGTATATTATCAAATTAATATACGCATGTATTTGTCTGAAAGAAAATATAGACTAGCCCATACCTTTCGCCGATCATAACTTCGGCCCCTTCGGACGTATCTTCTTTGTTAAATATTCTTGTTCGAATCGCTATCAAAAACACTATTTGGAGTGTTATTTTTCAGCTTGTATCTTTAAATTTGCTTCTTTTATTATGGTATTCCATTTCTGCATGGTCTGACTTGTGATTGTGAACTAATTTCAAAACGCAGAGATTCAAAACGTCAAAACATTTGGTTAATGATTTAATAGATAATTACTGAGGCCATGCAACGGCATTATTTGATATATTGCAGCCAGCTGAGGCCGAAGGCCGAAGCTGGCTGCAATATATCGAATAATGCCGTTTGGCCGAAGTAATTATCTATTATAATTACTGACCCGAATCAAAAGTAATTATTTTCGGCTGGAAGACTACGTTGCTGCTTGTTGGGACCGTATGACAATGAATTTATCCAACGTTACACCAGGCCCGGAGCTGGCTCTGATTGTTTGGGGGGGCACTCCCCAAACAGAAACGATAAAGTGGGAATGGAATTTTGCCGAACGGGTGGTGCGATCTCGAGGGACTCTCACTTGTACGTAGGTACTGTACATCATAAAAATGTTTGAGCTTCTGCCGAAACAAGGGGACCGTATAGATAATGGCAAACTGGGAATAAGTAAAAACAAACTGTTGAAAGTGAAGTGTTCACAAAAAATACACACGACAATAATAACAATATACAATAGCCTCATTTATTGATAATATCAATCAGTTAAGTGCTATCATAATGCAAAACATGCACGACCTGTCAAATTACAACGACAATGCTCTTGGTTTCAAGTTCCAAGCTTTGTAAAAATCGTCAAAGGTAATGTCATTTATCAGAACTTCGCTTTCAAAACTTAGATAAGCTAGATTTGCTTCTCTTTCTGTTTTCATCGACCTCCGCTGAGGGGAATCAACTCTTGTAAGGGATGAAAAAACACATTCAACCCTCATTGATGTGAAACCAGCAGTGATAGCTACTTTGTACAACGAAGATAGTACAGGAGCTCCCTTCTGGTGTTCCTTTATGACAATGTTAGCGACCTCGCTCAAATCAACTTTGTCAGCTGCATTCTTGGGCCATTCTTTGTCTTTAAAAACACGAGAAAAAATTCGGCACTCAGCTTCTAAATCTTCGCGTGATAATTTTTCTTTTTGATAGAAATCTCTTATCACTGGAATATTGACCGCGTACTCAAATAAGGGTATGAGAGCATCATAGTCAAGATAATTATCTGACGACGGCGATAAGGCCAGCATGGCTTCCCATAGTGCGATGTTTTCTTCAGAAAATCTTCGGAGGAATTCCGCATCCAGCAAATCTAAGCACTCGACAAAAATTTGACAGTTGGTGCGACTGTTGTTTGCGCTCGGGATACGGTCAGTTATTAAAAAATCATCAAAACGAGAGGGAACAGCAGTATTTCTTGTAGGTCTGCGTTGCACTTGCACGCCGTCGGTTGACGTGATTCTCACACTTTCTAAGAAATCATCAACCATCTTTTTAACTTTCTCATTCGAAGTATTATTTTCGCGTTTCGATTTGATGTCGTCTTTGACGGCGTTGACCACGTGCAATGCTGAAATAAGATTTTCGTCCGGGGATTGTAATTGTTTAACAACAATATCAATAGGTTTCAACACATCCATCAACATACAAGTTATGAAGACAAACACGTGGTCTTCATTATCTTCCATTAGGCTAAGGAGCCCTGTTGCCTGTGCTCGATCTTCACCAGATAACTTCTTATTTTTTGATGCCACCATAAGCGCTTGGATCAAATCGCCATAATTTTTGTGCACATGGCTGGTACTTTCAAAGTGACCAGACCATCGCGTCTCAATAAGCCGTTTCAATGCAGTGCCGTTATACGATTCTAACACAGCTGACTTCTTAAAGAACTTGTACAGGGCTGCTGTAGTATCAAAATATTCCTTTACTTCGTCAAGATTTTGCATGGGAAAGCTGACAACCAGGTGGATTTTGTGGAGAAAGCAGTGTACATATAACACATTCCGATCGCAAAAATCACTAATTAACCTCTGCAAGCCGCCGTAGTCGCCTGACATCACGCTTGCCCCATCGAAGGATTGTGACACAAGGCCGTCAACTGAAATGTTAAATTGTACCAAAGCTTCTTTGATGAATTTGAAAATACCTTTAGCTGAGCGATCATCGATTCCCTTGACGTTAATACATCGTTCCTTAACATTCCCGTCCGACGATAAATACCGACAAACGATACCTTGAATCTCTTTCCTGTTCTTGTCAGTTGTGCCATCTGCTATGATTGTGAACAGTTCTGCCTTTCGCACGTCTTCGGCGATTTTGGTCTTCACTAAGGAAGCTAAGACTTCGATGACTTCATTCTGTATGTCATGGGAAGTGTACTTAGCGTTTTTTGGAAGATTCTTGTGAATTTTCCCCCATTTTTCTTCCAGCGGAAACAGAAGTTGAGAAAAAGCTCTTAAAAACAAGCCATCTCCTGTGTCAATATCGGATTCATCAGAACCACGGAACGCGAGACCATTCGCACATAAAAATCTTGAAACGTTAAAAACAGCAAATAACCATTGCTTCTGATCATTATTTAATGATACAAAAGATGCTGTTACGGGGCAGCCACATGCATTTCGCATTTTCGCTTCTTCGTAAGCCTATGTTGCTTTCGAATGATCAATCGAGGATTGGTGTTGCTGGAATCCCTTTGCCTTGTCCTTAGCGTGTTTCCAGTCGCGATAGCCACTTTTAGTAAATACGGTCTCCGTTGGATTAGGCGAATATACTCTACACTGGAAGCAGAAACAAGCGTCCAAATCCGTGTTGTATTCCAACCACTTATATTCGCCATACCAGTTAGAATTGAAGCGTCGTATTTTACCTCTGAAACTTGTACCTGGGTATGCCTTCAAGTACGGTTGGCATGGGCCTTCCTTGTTATCAAAAAAATTTGGTTTTCCAGAATGGTCGTTTTGAGGCAGTTGAGGTCCATGTATGTTCTCCTGGA